ATGAGAGGGTATCTAGTAGAGTGACACTTGTATACCCTGTTCTGATAATCTTGAAAATTGTTGAAGGATATTTCAAGTTGACATGTTTTCTGGACTGCATCATATTTTCGTGCAGTGAGATCATACGGGTGAGTTCGTAGAGTGCATTGTGGCTATCAGGAAAGACAGCCAGTCACTGCTGTTTTTAAGACATGGTACATTAGCATTCGATTCTTTTACTGAGTTCTGAATTTAGACCCTGTTAAGGAACTGTGAGGAACTGTGTTTTGGAGAGAAACTGCAAGAGTCTTAAGCCGAATATGGTGATAACTTGAGGGAAGGTCTAGCTCTTTCCTCATAACAAGAACTTTAGCAGTCATTAGAAGTCAATTATAATGCTCATGACCTTGTTCTGTAAGACTGCATGGGGCTTTAGAGTATTTTGTGGCAATATGCTAAGAAGTGGGTTCAAGTGGACCTAAGAATGGAAATATACGTCAACTTTAGGACTCTTCGGAAGACACTTACGTATCATATACTTTAACGGTCTTAAACGCTCCTAGAAAGTTTACTGATATTTTGTACAAATTCCTGGGTGACGCGAAAATTGCGTGACATGAGGTGGGAAGTAATCGCCTTAATACCAAGGTGTCTGTGAGAGGGAGTGGGGGGGGGAGGGGGGCGGCTAATGTGTGTGTGATATACTTCAGTGATTCCTGTACATATCTCCTCGGGATTTTGCAAGTGTATAGTCTTTTATTAGTCACAATTTCTGCCTTTATTTGATTCTCCATTTCTCCTCTCTCGTTCTATACTTCGAGAGGTTGTTTCAAAGTCATCCACATACCAAGCAATACACTCACATAATTCACAGTAAACTTTATAAAACATATACCTACATGTGTACACTCACTCTCACACACACACATATATATGTATGCGCGGATATGTATGTATATATATATATATATATATATATATATATATATATATATATATATATATATATGTGTGTGTGTGTGTGTGTGTGTGTGTGTGTGTGTGTGAAGGTATATATATGCAAGTTTATGCATATGTATGTATGTATATGGATTGAAAGAGATAGGTACAAGAAAGCATATTACCTATTATAACAAAAGCCGTCTTTTGTAGATACGAAAATCCGACTCGTTTGAAGTTTGATTAACGAGGTCATTTCTCGTCTTAAACGCTGATTGGCTGCTGAATGCACAGCCAGGCATATGTTCTTGTTGGTACGCTCTAGTATCAACAAAAACATAAACAGCAAGAGTGACCGCTCAAGATTTGTCCAGAGACTCTCTCTCTCTCTCCTTTCTTCTCTTTCCTCCCCCCCTCTCTCTTTCTCTGCCCCTCTCTCTCTCACTCACTTTTTCACACCCCTTTCTGTCTGCCTATATCTCTAATTAATCTCTCAAGAGAGTTGATACCACATTAAATAAGTACAGGTAATTTCTTTTCAACAATATACAAATGAGCACAAGGAGAATAAAGTGCAGAAATCGGTCGGCACTTGATTTAGTGAAGGAGTTTATCTTTTCCGTAAGGGCGAGATCCCATCACTGCCAAGTTATGAGAACAATAATTATAATGAACAAAGCTGTTGATACAATAAAAAAAATATGAGATGCCTGGAACAAATTCGTGGAAAGCGAGAGGAGGGGAAAGGAAACACGCCCTTCTGCTTCGCTGCATGACAGCATGAAGGCGGGTCCGTTATATCTGATCATATCGAGTATGAATCAAGTGGCTGTGTAAGCGTATATTCACGTATAGTTTACAACAAAAAAAGGACTGTTTTGAGAGATATTCTTGGGATTTAACAATATGAGTATCTATTTTCTAAAGAGAGCATGTAGCCAGCAACCGCGTTTCTTTTGGCACCAAGTCTGGCTTCTCTGCTTCAATATATGGTAGTTATCGTCCACTGCGATAACACTTATTCGTTGTTGTTTTTTTCTATAGCTCTTTTACCTAATATTATGATAAAGTAATTCGAGATTTTGCGTTTATTAGTTATTAGTATGGTTAAGGTCTGTACTTAAATAGACCTTGGGAGTAAGTGTCATGCGTCACGATCATGACAATACTCTCCTTACTTCATAATAAACGCATTCGACAATACGCCATGCAATGACAAAGGAGGCAAGGGAGACGTGCGGTATTAACACTATTTGGGTTGAAAAAGTTTGTAATTTGAACTTACAATACGAGTTAGGAGTGGCGGGGAATTTCTAATATTATAAGTCAGTAATGTGCACTGTCACATGATAAATAAAATAGGTTAATTTGATAATAAATTCATGCACAATACAAGTAATCACACGAAAAGCGTTGATTAAACTGACGGACAAAACGGTATCATCTTTACTTCTTATGAACTGAAAAGTACTAAAAAATTGTGCACGAAACAGAATTAAATATATAATCTCCCTCACTATATTATTATTCCTAACGTGTTCATGACCTTCGAGAAAAAAAAATCTTATCATCAGGTTACCAT